TTTTTTTTTTTTTGATCCTCTTTTGATAATCCTTTATATGTAGGGAGATGAATTTGAAGAATCAGGTTTCCAGGAAGCAGTCAAAAGGTTGTTGATGGCCAGCCACACTGACAATTTGACCTTTCTACCGATAATGAAAGAGCCGTGAATATTTTAATTCTAAGATTTATTTGACATATGAAGTTTAATTAACAGCAAATCTAATTTATAGTGACATTTTTAGTTACATAAATATCTTAGATGTTATATTTTTTGACAATAGGTCACAATTTTTTGAAATTTTGGTCGTGTAATTACTAATTACAACATATTGGATGTGCATATTTGATTATGTAACTAACTATTAAAGTTATTGAAGTTTCCACTACAAGAAATTTCAATTTTAACTAGACAAAAATTTCTAGCTAAATCTAAAAATTTCTAGCTAAATCGGTTTACCTATAAAATAGCTAGACAAAAATTTACCAGCAAACATTTTACCTACAAAGATCTAGGTAAATGTCTAGTTAAAATTGACATTTCTTGTAGTGTTCCGGCTAAGGTTGGGCAGCAGGTTAGTGTCGGGCCACTAGCCTTATCTTGAGGCTGTCGGCCCGGCGGTGTTGGGTTCGTGTTCTTTTGTTGTGGCGTCCAAGGGTGCAGCTTGCTGCGTGTTTGGACCCCCTTTCGAGCCCTCCGACATGGGTTGTTGGTACCTTTTGTGGCAGCTCTCCCTTTTCCCCAGCGTGATAGATTTTCAGAGTCCATATCTAAATCGAGGATTAACTCTTCATCAGATCCGTTTAGGCGATGCGAGTGGCTGCAGCTTTCGGGTTTGAGGTTTCGTTTTGCTACTTTGTTGAATCTCTTTGTTGTTGAGAGTGGTTTGTGTGCTGACTCAAATGGTCGTGCGTTATGTCTGCTAAGTGTAGGGAAGGTCTTATTCTATTTGTACATTAGGTGTGTGTGTTTGTGTGTGTGTTTCGATTTGTTAGTCCAGCTTCATTTAGATCTAGTCTCCTTTATGGAGCTTTGTTTTGTAGTGATGGTTGTCTCCTTGATGGAATTGTACCCCTTTGGATTCTTCTGGAATTCCAAGGGAGTATGTCCAAGTTTTCTGGTTCCCTAGTGTCAGCTGACACTCCCTATGTACTCTGTTTAGTTTTTAGTTATTAAAGTGTTTGTCGTTTTTAAAAATAAAAAAAAAAAAAATAACTATTTTGTGTTTCATGTAATTTGGTTTTTAGTGTGGTACCCGTGCGATGCACGCGATGCACGTGCTAGTTTTATTAATGTAAGCATTTAGATTTGAATTATTGGATTATTAGAATAATGTAAAACGCATGTATTAAAATAAAACAAAATATAACTTATGCATTATTAAACACATCCTTGTACACAACATTATTTATTTTGTCTTTTGGTACATCGTATATTGCATTGAATAGTCAAATATAACAAAGATTGTACAACGCCTTTCTTGATAATCTATAGCCTTATTATTTTAAAATTGTAACTTACTTAATTTAATGAAGGAAAAAATTGTGTAAGTGTATGCAATCAATTTCAAATTTGTATTATCCATAGACCACCTAATTGACACCAACGGGTAAAATCTCCTTCTGCTTTAGGACCCCATAGTAATAATAAAGCATGCGATAAACTATTAGCAGGAGTAGAAACTGCGGTCATTAAGAAATTACAGCCCTCCAAATAGGAACTGGTCAATCCATGAGTATACCATGAAGTTACAAAGGTTGTGCCTGTGAACCAACCCCCTAAAGCGAAATAGGCACAAGGAAAGAGCAATAGGCCGGACCAGCCTACAAAAACGAAACGGTCCCTTCGCAACCAGTCATATAGAGAATTCCAGTATGATTTCATTTTGAATTTCAAATTAATATTACTTGACTCTGTTTTATGTTTAAAAAATTCAAACTAAATAAAATAATAAGAGATTTTAAAATTTTAATTTTTAATTTGAAATTGGGCCCGATTTCAATGCAATTTGATTTTTTTAATAAACATGATCTGTTGCAATTAGGTAAAGATACATTTCATAGTAATTTTCCTAATTTGAAATTCTCGATTTTATGGTAAATAATTTTATTTAATAAAAAAATGAGGGAATTTTGACTTTTACAAGTTTGTCATGCCGAATTTTTTTCTCAATTAACCCGATTTCTATGCAATACGATTGTTTTATTTATAAACAACTGATGTGTTGCAATCATGAAAATATATATGTGATAGTATCTTGCCTAATTCGAAATTCTCGATTTTATGGTAATCAATTTTTTTTAATAAAAAATGAGAAAGAATTTTGACTTTTGCAAAATTGTAAGCATCAGTCAAATTTTACCTAAATTAAATCCACAAAATCCATGAATTCAGGATGCATATATAGCAGATCGATTTTTTTAGAATAATTTAAAAATAAAATTAAAAAAACTTCCAAAAATATAATGTAATAAATGTTGGTTGACTTTTTTGTTACTTTTTTTGGTAAATAGGTTCTTTTTTATACAGATATAGATATAGATTCCTTTAATAGGCAACAGACCAAAAATGCTTCACTACAGTTGCATTAAAATGTGTCGTACCATGTGATTCCTTACTCTTTGAACATTAGTTGAGGAGCATATTAACTCGTGTTCAAGATTTCTTACTCTTTGAATATCAACTGAGAAACATATTAACTCGTGTCCATCTTGGACAGAAGAGCACAACTCAAGAACACAAAACCAACCATACACTTCACGTTTCAGGTAAACAAGTGCTTAGGGGCGTGATTGGTATTGAGTAAGAGTAAATAAAAATTGACTTTTACTGGGTTTTGAGTTAATGTGAGTTAATTTTACAAAAGCTCTGTGTAAGATATAGTGTATTTATTATAGGAAACATGCTAATACACTATTTGTGAATAAGTGTGGACGACTCCATAAGTGATGTCATCTGATTACTGTATAGCAAAACTAGTTAATTTTAAATAAAGTTATTGAGTGAAACTTAAAGTTTATATTTAAAATGTAATAATTAAAGTTGATGTGATGTAAAAATTGTTGGAAAATTGTGAATTAAATTGTAACATAAAGATTAAATTTTGAAATAACCGTGTCTTTCATTTCAAAACTTGTAACTTGTTTCATGTTACAAGATTAATCTTTAACTTAACTTCATTAAATTTTGAATTAATGAAGTATTAATGTATGTGGGTATCTTAAGCCTTTATAAGAAGAGTTGTCTTCTTTTGATGGGAGATACGAGAATGAAAAACCAAGAAAAGAAAAACATTATATTCCTAAAAGCTTTTCCCCATTTTTTCTTTAAAGTGTTTTGGTCCAGGCATAATTCCAGTTCGCTGAATTTGTTTCGGTTTATCCGTTGTATCCTGGAAAACAGACGCTCATACGGGGCGAATCTGTTTTAAGGACACTATGTTCTCACAGGCCTCGGTATTTTTTTATTATAGCCATCTTACTTTTATATTCCCGATAAAGTTCCCTACAATCTTAAAACAGATTCCGATTAAAGATGGCTGCTGAACAAAATACTATTGGCGTTGCTAATACCGGTGGTGCTACTACAATTTCTATTTCTCCTTCTGTTCCGGTAAATCATGCTGATAAACCGAAAAAATTTAATGGCTTGAATTTCAAGCGTTGGCAGCAAAAGATGCTTTTTTATCTCACTACGTTGAACCTTGCGAGGTTCTTGACGGAAAATCCACCAAAGTTGGGGGAAAATCCGGATGTTCAAGCGGTTAGTGCGCTTGATGCATGGAATCACTCGGATTTCTTGTGTAGAAATTATGTGATGAACTGTTTGGCTGATACACTGTACAACGTGTACAGTTCTATCAAAACAGCAAAAGAGCTGTGGGAGTCTTTGGATAAAAAATATAAAACCGAAGACGCTGGGGCCAAGAAATTTCTTGTAGGCCGGTTTCTGGACTACAAGATGGTTGACTCGAAGACTGTAATCAGTCAAGTGCAAGAGCTTCAAATAATCTTGCATGATATCCATTCCGAGAGAATGGTTGTGAATGAAACTTTCCAGGTGGCTGCCATAATTGCAAAGCTACCACCTACATGGAAAGATTTCAAAAATTATTTATTACATAAGAAAAAAGAGATGACCGTTGAAGAGCTCGTTGTTAGACTTCGAATTGAAGAAGACAACAAGGGCTACGACAACAAAATGATTAATCCTCATTTTGCCAAGGCTAATGTTGTTGAGCATGGCGAAAGCTCAAACAAAAATAATAAGAAAAAAGCTGGCAATAATGGAAAAGCAATAATGGGGCCAAAGAAACAAATTTTCAAGAAAAAATTTTCTGGAAATTGTTATAATTGTAATAAACCTGGCCATAAGGCATCTGATTGTAGGTTGCCAAAGAAAACTCAAGAAGCCCACATGATGGAAAATCTGGCCAAAGATGTTGATGAGATGCACCTCGCCGCAGTTATATCCGAGGTGAATCTAGTGGGCTCAAATCCACATGAATGGTGGATTGACACGGGTGCTACCCGTCATGTTTGCTCTAACAAGGAATTGTTTAATGTCCTTGACGAGACTGTGGATGGAGAAAAGCTCTTCATGGGAAATTCTGCCACATCTGACATCAAAGGAGTGGGAAAAGTGGTACTGAAGATGACATCTGCAAAAGAGTTGACTCTTAATAATGTCCTTTATGTACCAGAAATTCGTAAAAACCTAGTGTATGGTTCTTTGTTGATCAAACATGGTTTTCGTGTAGTGTTTGAATCTGATAAGGTCATTTTGACTAAAAATGGAGCATTTGTAGGAAAGGGTTATGAATGTAATGGGCTTTTTAAGCTCAATGTGATGACAATTAATAAAAATGTTAATTCTTCCGTTTATATGCTTGAGTCTTCCATTGTGTGGCATGGTAGACTGGGACATGTCAATTATAATACCCTGCGCAGGTTAATAAAATTGAAAAGCATACCTATGTTCCATATTGATTCAAAACATAAGTGTGAAACTTGTGTTGAAGCAAAATTGACACGATTACCATTTCAAACTATTGAAAGAAATAGTGAACCACTTGATTTAATTCACACTGATGTATGTGATTTAAAAGTTATCACGACACGTGGTGGAAATAAATATTTCATCACTTTTTTAGATGATTGCACTAAATTTTGTTATGTGTATCTTCTCAAAAGTAAGGATGAAGCGATAGAGAAATTTATTCTCTATAAAAATGAAGTTGAAAATCAGTTAAATAAAAAGATTAAGGTGATAAGAAGTGACAGGGGAGGTGAATATGAGTCACCTTTCGCTGAATTTTGTGCCCAACATGGGATAAGACATGAAATGACAACACCTTATTCACCGCAACAAAATGGGATTGCGGAAAGAAAAAATCGTACTTTAAAAGAAATGATGAATTCAATGTTGTTAAGTTCTGGACTTCCACAGAACATGTGGGGGGAAGCTGTGTTGTCAGCAAATTACCTTTTAAATAAGGTTCCCCGTAAAAAGTTAGACAAAAGTCCATATGAATTATGGCATGGAAGACCACCATCCTACAAATACTTGCGAGTGTGGGGGTGTCTGGCAAAGGTAGCAATACCTACGCCAAAGAAAATAAAGATTGGACCAAAAACTGTTGATTGCATATTTATTGGATATGCACACAACAGTAGTGCTTATCGTTTTCTTGTACATGAATCCAAAATTGAGGAAATTTATAAGAATACGATACTTGAATCTAGAAATGCTTTATTTTTTGAGCATATATTTCCACGTAAGTCTGAAGTGGATTCTAGTTCCACTAAAAGAAATTTGGAAATAATGGAAAAGGATCAAGATGGATATGTTGAAGTAGAACCTCGGAAAAGTAAAAGAGGTAGGATAGAAAAATCTTTTGGTCCAGATTTTCTAACCTATATGGTTGAAAGCGAACCACAAACGTTTTCAGAAGCTGTAAATTCTTCTGAAGGACCTCTTTGGAAAGAGGCAATCCAAAGTGAAATTGATTCTATTTTGCAAAATCACACATGGGAGCTAGTGGATCTTCCTCCTGGAAGTAAACCATTGGGCTATAGATGGATTTTCAAAAGGAAAATGAAACCTGATGGAACAGTTGATAAGTATAAGGCTAGACTTGTGATTAAAGGTTATAAGCAAAAAGAAGGCCTTGATTACTTTGATACATATTCTCCAGTGACGAGGATAACATCCATCAGAGTGATTATTGCAATTGCAGCTTTAAGAAATCTTGAAATACATCAAATGGATGTAAAAACAGCTTTTCTAAATGGAGATTTAGAAGAAGAGATTTATATGGAGCAACCTGAAGGATTCTCTGCGCCAGGGCAAGAGAATAAAGTTTGCAAATTGGTTAAGTCTTTGTATGGCTTAAAACAAGCTCCAAAACAATGGCATGAGAAGTTTGATAATGTCATGATTAAATGTGGATTTAAAATTAATGAATGTGATAAATGTGTTTATGTTAAAGACACAGAAAAGGGTTATGTAATCTTATGTCTTTACGTAGATGACATGCTTATCGTTGGAAGCAATGATAAAATCATTAAATCCACAAAAGATATGTTAAATTCAAGATTTGACATGAAAGATATGGGTCTAGCTGAGGTGATTCTTGGAATTAAAATTCATAGAACATCACAAGGAATTGTTTTGAGTCAAACACATTATGTGGAGAAAATCCTTGAAAAATTTAATAAGGATGATTTGACTCAGGCTAGGACCCCGATAGATACAAGTCAACATCTGTCGAAAAATAAAGGAGAAAGTGTTTCTCAAGTCGAATATTCAAGGGTGATAGGGAGTCTGATGTATCTAATGAATTGTACTAGACCAGACATCGCCTTTGCCGTGAGTAAACTGAGTAGATATACAAGTAATCCAGGAAATGAACACTGGAAAGGAATTGTGAGATTACTCAGATACTTGAGATATACTTGTAAATATGGTCTGCACTACTGTAAATATCCAGCTGTAGTTGAAGGCTATAGTGATGCCAACTGGATATCGGATATGAAAGATTCTAAATCCACTAGTGGATATTTATTCACTTTGGGAGGTGCAGCCATATCATGGAAATCTTCTAAGCAGACTGTTATTGCCAGATTCACAATGGAGTCCGAATTTATAGCATTGGACAAAAGTGGAGAAGAGGTAGAGTGGCTTCGCCATTTCTTAGAAGATATTCCAAAATGGTCAAAGCCAGTGCCAGCCATTTGTATACATTGTGATAGTCAATCGGCTATAGACAGGGCACAAAGTAATATGTATAATGGTAAGTCTAGACATATTCGTCGAAGACATAATACCATTAGACAACTACTCTCAACTGGTACTATATCTATTGACTATGTGAAGTCAAAAGATAATCTTGCGGATCCGCTAACCAAAGGGTTAAATAGAGAGTTAGTTGCTAAATCTTTGAGAGGAATGGGACTTAAGCCTCTAGAAATGAGTTGATACAATGGAAACCCTACCTTGTTGACTGGAGATCCCAAGATCTTGGTTCAAAAGGACAACCTAATTGTAAAAAGACTTTTGTGATCACTGTAGGATTTTATCCAATGTCCATTCCTTAAACAGTGATACCCGTGGTGAGTAGGATAAGCATTTGGCTTTTAATGATTCTTGTATGGGAAGGTAGTACGGGCTACATGTAATTATGAATTACCTATGTGAGAGAGAAGTGGGGCCGCTTTGAAGAGAATTGTGTGAGGCTCAATTCTTAGACCCTCTCACAGAACCAGGCTATGTCCAGGGCCATTAATGGACATAATAATGAGAACTGGAATATGTTAGGGAGAATTCTGTGTGAAGTATATTCATCGTTTACACAAAAGGCAGAACACTTCAAAGACATCGTGTTTACTGGTCAGCTAGTAAAGTTAATGTGCTTTCACAAGGGAATGTTCAAAGGGTAACACCTACATATCCTATGCAGGTTTCAACTGTTGGACCATAACATTATTTTTCAATTTCATTCATGTGGGGGATTGTTGGAAAATTCTAAATTAAATTGTAACATAAAGATTAAATTTTGAAATAACCGTGTCTTTCATTTCAAAACTTGTAACTTGTTTCATGTTACAAGATTAATCTTTAACTTAACTTCATTAAATTTTGAATTAATGAAGTATTAATGTATGTGGGTATCTTAAGCCTTTATAAGAAGAGTTGTCTTCTTTTGATGGGAGATACGAGAATGAAAAACCAAGAAAAGAAAAACATTATATTCCTAAAAGCTTTTCCCCATTTTTTCTTTAAAGTGTTTTGGTCCAGGCATAATTCCAGTTCGCTGAATTTGTTTCGGTTTATCCGTTGTATCCTGGGAAACAGACGCTCATACGGGGCAAATCTGTTTTAAGGACACTGTGTTCTCACAGGCCTCAGTATTTTTTTATTATAGCCATCTTACTTTTATATTCCCGATAAAGTTCCCTACAAAAATGTGAGAGATGATTAAAAGTGATAGATAGCTGAAAACACGTAAGTAGATTAATAGTGAATTAAAGTTAAATTGACCTAAGATAAAAATGTTTGGGCATTATTTAATTATATTGATAATATTAAAAATAGTATAATTAATTTAAATCTGATTTTGTTAAAGTGAATAAAAAGTTTGGATCGACTTGATTGCATACCAATCACTGCTTTAATATAGACGTGTCCAAATGTCTGGCTGGTTCCAAATGTCTGGCTGGTTCCAGTTCATTGAACCGGCCCTACCCGACAGTTCAATGTTTTTTAATATAAAAATAAAAAACAATGCCAAAAACCCGAACTCATCTTCCAACCGAGAATTGACAATTGAAAAAAAAAAGACCCGAAACCGGCCCAGTATTACCACGGCTCTAGTTCAAGACCCATACATACGGGTGGTTCTAGGCCGGTCCGGGGTCGAGCCAGGCCACGTCTACCTTAATACCCAAATCTACAAGAGAGTATCAGTTTTAACATAAGAAAATGCAGCTGAAGTCATAAACAGGGAACTGCACCATCAGCAACAGTTAATTACTCAATTTACCACGAAAATAAACAGATACAAACCCAGTCACAAAATTTCACGATCTACACGACCTGAAACGGGCAACTAAAAGCTTTGAATTTCCATGTATCTCCAGTTCTCCACTCGCAAAGTTCACTACTCAAAGAAAGTCAACCCCCCATGACCGACGAGCACTGCTCGACAAAAGACTACCTATATCAATTTTTTTTTTCTCTCCCCCCTAACAAGCAAAAATTTACAGCAAACGGCATTCTTTTCTTGATCGGAAGTCATACCAACTAAGCCTCGACAGCAGTAACAACTTCTTCATCAGTCGTATCAGACGAAGCAGCCTCATCAACTCGACCCACAGGTGATTCGTCCCCACTTTCATGCTTGGCACCCTCAACAGATTCATTCTCACTTTCAGGCTCGTTATCAACCAGTTTCTCTCTAAGCTTATTCATGAGCTCGTTTCTTGCGCTTTCATTTTCTGACAGGTATTTCTTGAGAGCATCGTTGCCTTTAAAAGTTTGGCCCCCCAAATATAAAAATGAAGCGGCCTTTGTGATGAATTTGTGTTTGCATCCCAAGTTTATGAGTTCAGCCTCCCGAGAGATGCCACGACCAAACTCGAGCTCGAACTCGGCAGTTCTAAATGGTGGGGCGTGCTTGTTCTTTACGATTTTCACGCTGACTTGACTTCCTATTGTCTGCATGAAAAATGGATTGAGATGAATTTCGCTTTTTCCGGGACAATGGACTCGAATTAAGCTTTTTAGATAATTTTCAAGGGTTAACAAAAATAAAAAATATCAAATGAAAAGCTTTTCAACCTCCTCTTTTTTTTTTTTCAAGAAATATAATTGTTAGATGTATGAATTAGATTTTGGCAAGATTAAGAGAAGAGAGTGCTTGCTTTCATTCTCATGTTTAAATATGAGTTGCTGCATTCTAAGTTAAAATTCTTTATGGAGAATTTGTGATGCGGTCATTACAATATTCAAACTACGAGTTCAAAACTTGTATCCACATAATATATGGTTAGCCTCGAGATGTCCTTTCTCTCGTGGAAAAAGGAAATACAAATTTTATGGATAACGCTATTAACTTAAGGTTTTTAGAAACAAGCACAGGTAAGCCAACGGAACAAGATTATTAGGTCAATTAAAATATTCCCGTTACGAAAAAGAAGAAGAATTCGGACTCGGGATTTCACAAAATCGAAAGAAACATATCCGTACCTCCTCACCCCTCTTGACCAGCCCAGTTCTCCTAATATTAAGACGTACTGAAGCATAGAATTTCAGGGCATTTCCACCACAAGTAACTTCGGTGGGGCCACCAAATCCAAAGGTGGATAGTTTTGCCCGCACCTACAATTAGATGTAACTCGTTAGTGAAGAATACAAACAAAAAGTTCCAATTTTTGTATACAAGTCTTGCGCTTTGCCCTTAGGTTTATACTCTGGTGGGTTTCCGGATTTCATTTCAAGAATATTTTTGCCAATATGGAAAAAATTATAAGCAGCAGAAAACAAATGGAATCAGTTTACCATTTAAGGTTATAGTTTCATGCATAGTATTGTCACAACATGTTTGGATTTTGCACTTGTCGTAAATAATTCGAAGGAGTGAGTGAATACGAAACACCAACAAGAAGAATCAATACTTGATTTGTACTCAACTACCTTTGAGAAACCATGATTTTTGACACAAAATTAGGAAAACCAGCACATACATATATAGGGCAATATGGATGCAAAATATCTAACAATTAAATGCGACAAAAAACAAGCATTTACAGCTCATGCCTGATTTGTGAAGATCAATATTGTCTGCGAAAGAGATAACGAGTGGCTCAATTTACGAAGTGCTTGACTCATAAGTCTTGCTTGCATTGCCATGTGTGCATCTCCCATTTCACCATCAAGTTCACCTTTAGGAACCAAAGCAGCCACCTACCAAGAAAATCCAAAAATAAAATGATGATAAGAAAATGATGTCAATTTACTTAGTTCATACAATGCCAATGCAAAACCATATATCTTACTTACACTATCAACAACGACAACATCTACTGAACCACTCCTAATTAGGGTATCCACCAGGCTTAGAGCTTGCTCACCACAATCTGGTTGTGAGAGAAGCAAATTTTGGGTGTTTACTCCAATAGCCTCGGCTAAAGATGGATCGAGAGCATGCTCAGCATCAACAAAAACACAATAACCTGTGTAAGACAAAGCAAGTATAAAAAACCAGTTCAGGCCGAGCCAAGATATCATTTCCACTAAAAACAGAAAGAATTTCTTGCAATTGAGAAGGTTTCTTCTACAGTTACTTACAGTTGATAAGCTCGTTATAATTTTTTACAAGTATATACTAATCTGAAATGGAAGTTACTATTTTAAGAAGAGTTTCCCAATCACTCACTACCAACTTAGTTTACAAGCATCGGCATATCAACAAGAAGCAACAGATGATACTTCATTCTAAAGTGAAAATCAGTGCTGAAAAATAATATCAACTCACTGAGAACAATCTGAAAGAATCAGTACACCGTACATATTATGTTACTCAAAATTAGAATACCGGAATTTCGAGGGACAAAAGATAGCACATAATGTAGGTCGGAGGAACAAGCCTCTAAGAAGAGTAAATATGATATCGATGACTAACCGCCTTGTTTTTGTGCCTCAGCAATAACATGCAACGCAAGAGTAGTTTTTCCAGAAGCTTCTGGCCCATATATCTCCACGACACGTCCCTGGTAGAACTCTAAAATGTCTCAATTCCAAATAAATACATATACCAGAAAGACTATCTAACAATGTATTCCTAATTTTTAACTATGCATGTAGTATAGACTACGATACATTTACCTACTTACCCGCAATTACAAAGAAAGTTTGCACTTACATATCAACGCACAAGCTCAACAATAGTAATATAGAGAAAAGTTTCATCTAATGATATCCGAAACAGTTCAATAGAAGCATGATGAACTGCATATTAGCTAAAGTCTCAGCTGATAGTACTCGACTAATATAAAATTTTTAAGATTTTCCAGACAACATAGAGCATGCTGGTGTAACTCAAGCAGAAAATTCAAGGTTTAAAATCATTACTTGTGCTAGGTCCATTATACTGATCACCGACCTAGATATTTGCAGTGTGAATTCATTCACATGTACAATTGCCATCTCTCAAAAAGTTAAGCAACACAAAATCACAAAAAGTTAAACTACACAAAATATGTCTCATCAGTACATGGAAAATCACACAATTTCGTAAAAAAATATTTCCCATAGCACTGTAAGATACCTTAGGAAGTCCCCCTATTCCCAAAGCAATATCCAAAGCAAATGACCCCGTAGACACCACTGGAATGTTCTTATAAGACGTTGTACGACCAAGCCACATAATGGACCCTTTCCCAAATGACGCTGTGATTTGATCCAAAGCATGCTTCAGTGCTAGATCTTTCTTTGACAAATTTTCTTCACCTGAGTCACTCGCTTCTGATTTTGCTTTCTTTTTACCTACAGATAGACGCAATTAAAAGAAATTTTACCTACAGATAGACGTAATTAAGCTTTCATGAACCTTTCCAACAGAAGCCATTAAGCTATATGCTGAAACTCGATGAAAATATAGAAAAATAACACTAAATCAACAACGAACTAGCACTACTAAGAAAAAAAGAACACTGATTACACGAATAGGTAGATGAACCTTGTTGAGAAGCCATAAATGAAAATTTCATTATCAGCAACGCATAAATATGCAGAACCCTTTTCAAATGGTATGAAGGGTCATGTTACAAGCTTAACAAGACAGTCCAATGGAGGACTAGCAACCCATCTACCTGATGATACTAATTAATTGACAAAGTTCATATAAGATCAATAGAGATACCCATTACCCAGAAGGCCAGAACTTGAAAATAGTAATTGTCATTCAATTAATGGAGAATTATCAGAACAGAAAGCTACAAACAGTAATGGAGAAATCCAACATCAAAGAAAATGTATGGTATACCACATAATACAAGGCTCGTCTTAAAGAAAAATCCAAGAGAATTAGTAATATACACGAGGCTAGTTTCTTTAACCACATAGTTCCTGAATACAAGAGATCAATACCGCTCTACCAAAAATGTGAAACAAAGCTACTAATACACACACATAAACAAACTACAAGGGGATAAAGATACGAGTAATCTAAGAAAAAAATATGTCAGCAAGTCAGTTAAGAAGACAAGATGGAAGCAAGCAAGAAGAAAGCTTTTAAAGAAGCCTATGAGAGTACCTTTAGCAGAAAAGTTGCATATCTGTGTAGATGTACCCAATAAACCCCTCATAGGTTCCTGAAACATCAATACAACCAATATAAAAGATTATATAGTTGTGCAGCCATGAACCGATAACCATTCCCTAACGCCCCAGCCAATATAAGCCTCATCCTTTCTTTCCTTTTTGACATACCAAACAACTAAAAAGGTTTTCATAAATAGACAAATTTTCCCCCAACAAAAGAATCCACCTTCACACTTTATCTTTGTAAACATGTTACCTTTGGAAAGGTAATAATAAAGGTCATTTTCGTTCTGTTACAGATTCCCCCCATTAACAAGTTCATTCCGCTCACTTTTCAAGGAAAAAGAACAAACAGATTAAAAAATCTATCATTCCAACTCTCCAACTAAACACAAAACTTCCAAAAGAAGGAGAAGAGCAACAAGGGCGCGACCACACACACGAACGACCAATACAAACCCAAAAAAGACAACCTTAAACGAAGACAAAAGAAACAAACAAGCAAAGAAGTTCAGAGAAATTATCGCAATAAATACAGGGCTAAGCATAAAAAAAAAATTTAAAATAAAAATAAAGCAAAACCTGCAGCTGGGGTAACAGGAAGCGTCTCAGAGACAAAGTGTTTCGGAGGAGCCTCGCCATTTTTTTGTATTGCAGTTCAAAAGTGACTAACTTTGAACTCAAAAAGGTCTATTCTTTTCAACAATAAAACAACAGTTCAGTTTTCCCCCACTCAAACAGCAACACTTTCGAAGCTATGGATATTCTTGCGAAATTGCTCACAGCACGAATTGCATAGGCTCGGGCCAACAATTGGTATACGCATAACCGTGCTTCATATTCTAGTGAGAGGAGCAGAGACGCACAGGAAATAAGTTTGTTTTGGAAATTGGAGGGTTTGCTTTTTGTTAGGGTTTATGTGTGTTTCCCTCCGTTTTCAACTTTCTTTTACGGAGGTATGTGAGATGAAAATAAACTAGTAGAGCTATAGACGAGTCGAGCCGATCCCGAATACTTGATACTCGTACTCGGCTCGATCTTTTTTCGAGCTCGCTCGATAAGATTAACGAGCTGCATGTGAAGCTCGGTTCGGCTCATTACCTGTACCTCGAGCTCGAATTCTAGATCTCGGCTCGTTTGATGTAGAATATACTCGTTAAAGCTCGACTCGAGCTCAGCTCGAGCTCGAAAATCCTGTAAATTATATTTTTTATTATTTCTTGTAAGTCCAAAACATAATTTTAAGTTCAATCATCCAAACATAAATACTAGGAACATAATGTTAAGTTCCATCCTCCAAACATAAATATTACAAAACATTCATTGAATGTAAAGACAACCAAATTTGAGTTACTTTCCAAATTGAGTACCACACATTAAAAAGGTTTCAATGCACAAAAGCATTCATTGCAAATAACATCCATTGAGTAAAAACATCTTGCAAAAAGGTTTCCATGCCAAAAAACTAGCAGGTCTGCCACTGCCATTTGATCAAGCTTGAGGAAGTTCAACTTCATGATATGTTGATGGTTCAAAAACATCCATTTCATCCTACAAAAATAAAAATAAACAAGTCATTATACTAACACAAAAACAGATATAAAAGAGGTGAAAAATCTGTTTTAAAAACAATTTAAGAATGTTTACTGCACTTCCACGAGGCCTGGTTTTCAACCCATAATGATTCTGAATCCAATCATTACCACAAAGTAGTACTTCCACAGTCTTGACCGTTAAAGAAGCTCGTCGATCATCAATTACTCGACCACCAGCACTAAAGGTAGACTCGGAGGCCACTGTTGTAACTGGTACAGAAAGAATATCACATGTCATTTTTTATAATATTGGAAATCTCAGACGCTCCCCCTTCCACCATGCTAAAACATCAAGATTAGCAGACGCATCACAAACATATCTATCTTCTTCTAGGTACAAATCCAAATCTAATTTTTCT